CCCCCCCCCCCATTAATCTTATGCACCGTACATGTCTGCACTGTAGGTGATGACCTGACCTTTACTATGATTGGCCCAGGGAGCTTCCTGGTTTAAGATAACTGACTCTCTCTTCCTATATAAGCTAGCACCAGCTTGCAGTAAAGTGCTTCATCTGTGTCACTGCTATCTGTGTGTGTGCATTTTAATCTCCGACAACAAACCTTGGTCTTTCAGAGGTATGTACTACCATGCCTGTAAAAAAAAAAAACTGTGATGCTATCACATTGCGGGTTGTGTTTTGTTGGTTGTTTTTATTTCCTTGATGGTACTGGGGATTGAACCCAAGGCCTTATCCATGCTAGGCAAGTGCTCTACCACTAGTCCTCCCCCCTCTTTTTTTTTTTTTCCCATACTAGGGATGGAATCCAGGGGCAGTTACCACTGAGCTATATCCCTAGTTCTTTTAATTTTGAGACAGAGTCTTACTAAGTTGCTTAAGGTGCTGAGGCTGGCCTCGAACTTTTGATCCTCCTGCCTCAGCCTCCTGAGTGGCTGGGATTACAGCCAAGAGCCACTGCCACTAGCCTCATCCTTCTTTATTTTGAGGCAGGGCCTCACTAAATTGCCCAGACTGGCCTTGAATTTGTGATCCTTCTGTCTTGGCCTCTCAAGTAGTTGGAATTATAAGAATGTCTCAACATACTTGGATAGGCTCACTCTTTCATAACAGTCCACTCTGAAGGGAACTAACATACTCTTCTAGACTAGCATTACTACCTCAATAACCTAATCACCTCCTACTAGGCTCAACCTTTTAAAGGTTCCACCACTTCCCAACATCCCACACCGAGGACCAAATTTCCAACAATCCTTGTAAGACACTCTCTAATCATATCCAAACCAGAGTACATAGAATCTGCAGTTTCCATAGGATGGCCTCTCAGCTTCTACCTAATCTCACATTCTAGTTTGAGAAGGTGGATTGGGTAGGTTGAAAAGCGGTGGCTTCCTCTCAGAATGAATCAATTTAGGCTCGGAATTTTGTCTGCTGAAAAGGAATTATCTTTCAGGTCCACTGGCAGAAGCTGGTTGAATTTGAGGGGTGGGGTCCTGTCCCACCAGCCCTCATGACGCTTGAATAAGACACAAAATGCTCCTGGAAAACACAAAAGCAAAAGATTTTACGATTGTGCGGTTTTCAGCTTCCTAGTAGGAATTGCTAGTGCGCGACAGGGTCTCCATTCCAGGATGGGGCTTCGCTTGTGGGATGGAGTCTGTGACCCCTGACTCCGCGGAGCAGTCGCGACCAACAGAGGTGGGGGGGGTGAGCAAGAGGTTATGAGTTCTGAATGCGGGGGCGGGGACAGGACGACTGCAGGGCTGGGCACCCTCTGCCCGGTGGCCCTAACGCTGTGGCGAGGCTTCCTCGCGCTCAGGAACTGGAGGTCATCCAGAGGCCGCCGGGCCACCCTCTGGAGTTTCCACCAGCTGACTGGGTCTACCCACGGCGAAGGGGCTTTAAACAACGGCTTCCTACCGGCTGGGCGTCGGCCCCTGACCTCTGACTCCGTTAAGCTCGTCCCCGGTTCCGTGCCCACCGCTACCCTGTTCCTACCTCAGGCTTCCGACTACCCAGTTTCTGAACCCTAAAGCCGCGGGGATGAGCCGCAGGACCCAAACGGGCCCGGAACCCTGAAGAAAAAGACCCAACTCTAACAGGTACCCGGAACACAAGAGAGGGCGCTGGCGGTCTCGCACTTCCGCTTCCGGTTCCCAGCATCGACTTCGGCTGGGCTTCAGCGCTCGAGCGGAGAGGTTGTGGCGTCTTCAGGTTCCAGGCGTCTCGAGGTGAGCGGGTCAAGTGAGAAGCCCTGAGTCGCGGGCAGCGGCCGGCAGTCGCCGCCGAGGGTCCTTGAGTCGGCGGGAGGTGAATCCGGGAGCCTTGGGGCCTGGCCTTGAGGCTACGTGAAGTGGCGGAAGCGCTGCTGTCTGGGATCCCGGGTCCTGGGACTTGGTACTTGGGGCCCAAGGGGACTCAGGTCTGGGGGTTAGAGGAGGTGAGCAGAAGACCCAGGCCGGGGTCTTAGGCCTGGGACCTAGGAGATTTGTACAATGGGCCTTCTGGGACCTGGGAGGCCCCAGAAGTCCTGACCGCTGTCCTCCCTCCCACCCCGCGTAGCTCCGGTCAGGATGATCGAGGTTGTTTGCAACGACCGTCTGGGGAAGAAAGTCCGCGTAAAGTGCAAGTATCCACCGACGGCCCGAGAGGCAGTGCTCGCTGGGGGTGCTTAGCGTGAGGCAGGCAGCCCGGACTGTGTTGTAGGGTGGTTCTAGGTAAACCCAGGAGAGCGGGCGGATGGGCTCCCGGCAGAGTGTAGTGCACTCAGCCCTAGAATGTCATCTTCCTCGTTCTACCTCTCCCTTCCATTTGCCTTAACTTCGCTGCGTCCAGCACCGATGACACCATCGGGGACCTTAAGAAACTGATCGCGGCTCAAACTGGCACCCGTTGGAACAAGATTGTTCTTAAGAAGTGGTGAGTGCAGTGGTGGGGCTGCCGGCTGGACTGGGGACTAGGCCAGAAGGGTTTGGGTGGGGGAGCGCTGGGCTCAGCCTGCCTCTAGGGGTAGAGTTTTCTAGGCTTTTTTCTGAAAGGTCTCTATTTCCATAGGTACACGATTTTTAAGGACCACGTGTCTCTGGGGGACTGTATCCTTTGTGTGACTTCTTGAGGAAGAGTCTACATACCCATCCCTGGTTCTCTTGGTTCTGTATTGAAGCACGTTTGATATTAAGTTCATAGGTATTAACTTAGAATATGGTACATGGTAAGCACTGAGAAAATAGTTGTTACGGAATTCATTGGGGACGAGGGTGGTTTATTGGTGAATTCGTTTGACTTGGCTTAGAAGGACTTTGTCACTCAGGTTCAACATATTACTGAGCTCCACCTGTTAGGAGGTCAGGAGGGTGAAACTCAGGCAAGTCTGTTAGGCAGAGTGGGAGCCCTGAGCTGTGGAGTTTACTGTGGTTCTCCGAACTTTCTTAAAAAAAAAAAAGTTTTCATTGATTGTTTTTTTTCCCCTCAGTCAAAATTAACCCAGTCCAAAATGACTTCCTTAGCCTTGTACTGAGTCTTTAGGGCACTGGATCTAGCTGTGAGTAGATGAGGGATGGTGATGGAACCCCCAGTGAAGACTCCTTAACACTTTACTTCAGATGAAATCCATGATGGGATGAACCTGGAGCTTTATTACCAATAGAGCAGAATTCCTTCCCCTCTGACTTAGCCTCTTGTCCCAAGCTCACCTCTCACACTGGTATGGATATTTGTTTTTAAAAACTCACATTAATAAAGACTTAGATACTGCTTTGTTGCCATCTGTGTTTGAGAGCTATCTTATGTATTTGTCCTCCATTACTGTTGATAAACGGAAACGGCTGCTTAATGAGAGCTTAGGATGACTGGATCAATGACAGAGGTGACTAGGTGCCCTGAGCTATGGGGTTTATTGTGGTTCTCTGCAGGCAAGAGGCCCTGGGAGTCTTGTTACCCTAATAGACCATAGAGCTCCCACATAAGGTCAGATTTAGTAGTAATGTTAGTAACACAGGCTCTAGATTCAGACAAACCATGGGTGGAATGTCAGCTCCGCCACCAAAAACCTGGTAACACTGGACAAGTTACTTAACCTCCCTCTAAGCCTTTGCTATGGTTTGAATGTCCCCACCAAAACTTACGTTGAAATTTAATCTCCATTTCAATGTATTATAAGCTGAGGTATTTAAGAAATGATTAGATCATTAGGGCTGTTTTCCTGGATTAATTAATCTATTCATGGATTAATGGGTTATGTCAAGAGTGGGTCTGTTGCAAAAACTCTTGATTCCTTATTATCTGGAGATTCTACAGAACCCCCTAAAAAGCCCCTCAACCCTAGTCCTCACAACAAAACCAAGAGCTGAATAAACTGTTAGTTTACAGATTACCCAGCCTCTGGTGTTCATTTACAGCAGTAGAAAACAGGTGGCCTCCTTTTCCCTATCCCTATTCCTAAACTGGTATTATTTCATGTCTACTTCACTGGTATGTTGTAAAGCGATGAGATATAGCATGTGTAAGCATTCATAATTCCTGGCACTTCTTTTAAAGACAAAAATGAGATCATAGTGGACAAAACAAGGCAGTGTGGCACAGGGTTTAACAATTCAGATGTTATACCTCTGATCCTCAGGTTCCTTCTCTAAAAGGGGCCAGGTGGTACATGTCTATAATCCCAGTGCCTTGGGAGGCTAAGGCAGAGAGATTGCAAGTTTGAGGCTAGCCTCTACAATGTAGTGAGACCTTGTCTCAAAATAAAAAGGGCTGGGTGCAGTGGTGGGAGCCTATATCCCAGCAGCTTAGAAGGTTGAGACATAAGGACTGAAGTTTAAAACCAGCCTCAGCAATTTAGCAAGGCCCTGAGCAACTCAGTAAAGCCCTGTCTCTAAATAAAATATAAAAAGGCTTGGGGAGAGGGCTGTGATTGTGGTTCAGCGGTAGAGCACTCGCCTAGCATGTGCGAGTCCCTACATTCTATCCTCAGCACCACATAAAAATAAATAAATAAAATAAAGGTATTGTGTTCAACTACAACTAAATAAATAAATAAATATTAAAAAGGTCTGGGAGTGTAGCTCAGTGGTACAGAGCCCTGGATTCAGTCTCCATTACCCACCCTCCCCCAAAAAAAACTTAACCACTGAGCCACATCCCCAGCCCCTTTTATTTTTTGTTTTGAGACAGGGTCTCACTAAGTTGCTGAGGGTCTTGCTAAGTTCCCGAGGCTGGCTTTGAACTTGCAATCCTCCTACCTCAGCCTCTGAGCTGCTGGGATTATAGGCAGATGCCACCGAGTCCAGTTCAAAACAAAAATTTATTTTTTTTGAGAGAGAGAATTTTTTTAATATTTATTTCTTAGTTTTTTCGGCGGACACAACATCTTTGTTTGTATGTGGTGCTGAGGATCGAACCCGGGCTGCACGCATGCCAGGTGAGCACTACCGCTTAAGCCACATCCCCAGCTCCACAAGAATATTTTAAATATTTTATATTTTTTTAAATTTTTAAAAATTATATGACAGATCTAACAAGGTGTTCTTTAATTTCAAATCAGCTTATAAGTATATAAGCTAATAGTAAAACCATTCTCCTTACCCCATTCTCCTGAGGGCAGGCCTTTTTTAATGAATTTATATATTCTTAAATTTTGTTTTCAGAAGATGATTCTGCTATGAGCTGGGGATGTAACTCACTGGTAGAGTGCATGCTTAGGTGTGCACAGGGCCCTAGGTTTGCTCCCCAGCATGGAAGAAAAAAAAAAGACTAATATGCTCATAAGAAAAACTCAAAACAAGAATTTGTTTTCTGGGCTGGGGATGTAGCTCAAGCGGTAGTGCACTCGCCTGGCATGCATGCGGCCAGGATTCGATCCTCAGCACCACATACAAAGATGCTGTTTCTGCCGAAAACTAAAAAATAAATATTAAAATTCTCAAGAAAGAAAAAAAGAATTTGTTTTCTTATTTCTTAATTCCATCTCTCCTGCTTCTGGAAATCATTACATATCTGAGTGAATGTAGGAATTTTATGAAATAGCAAGGTAAAGTTTTCATACAATAGAATCATTATACATTCTGCAATACGCATTACCATGTAGCAGCTTGCTTTTTTTTTTTTTTTTGGTCCTGTAGATTGAACTCGGGAGCACTCAATCACTGAGCCACATCCCCAGCTCTATTTTGTATTTTATTTAGCAAAAGGGTCTTACTGAGTTGCTTAGTTCCTTGCTTTTGCTGAAGCTGTCTTTGAGATCCTCCTGCCACAGCCTCCTGAGCTGCTGGGATTACAAGTGGTGTGCAGCTTGCTTTTTTGTATGCTTATGTAGATATCTTTCCATTTAAATCCTCTGTCCCAATCTTTTTAATTAGTATTTTTCTTTGCTTGGTTTTATTTATTTATTGTTTTACTTATATAAATGGGTAGTAGAGGGGGATCTTTATTTGTTTCTTTTTTTGATGCTAGGGATCCGACCCAGCCCTCCCTGTTTTTGTGACAATTGAAAGTGTCTTAAGATATTGGCAAGAGCTAGGGATGTGGCTCAAGCGGTAGCGTACTCACCTGGTATGTGTAGAGTGCTGGGTTCGGTCCTCATTAAAATAAAAAATAAAGATATTGTGTCCACCTAAAAAAAACTAAAAAAATATATTATTAAAAAAGATATTGGCAAAATATTAAAGAAGTGGTAAATTAAAAAAAAAAATGTTGGCAAATGTTCCTTGAGGAACAAAACATCCTGGTTGAGAACCTCTGTTCTATCATTATGTATGAATTTTCTCCCACCCGGCACCCCCCCCCTAGTGCTGGAGAAAGAACCCAGGACCTCACATTCTAGACAGTGCTCTATCACTGAGCCATACACCCAGCCCTATGACACACTACTTTTGCAACTCTGCCCTAAGTCTAAAGATGTCTTTAAAAAGAAAAGATTGTCGGGCTGGAGTTGTGGCTCAGCAGTAGAGCACTCACCTAGCAGGTCCAAGGCCCTGGGTTCGATCATCAGCACCACATTAAAAATAAATAAAATAAACGTATGGTGTCCAACTACAACTAAAAAATAAACATTAAAAAAATAGATTGTTATGTTGATACACCTATATGAAACCAAAGTATTATGTGAAAATTAAGTCCCCCATTTCCTCCTTCACCACATCACACCAGCAGTTTTAATTAATCCAGAAATTTTCTGTTATAAGCTTATAGTTCTTACACAACTGAGATAATTATACTCTTAATAATGCTGTTCAGCTGCTTGCTATTTTCTGCTTTATAATAGATAACTTTTCATAAGTGATCTGTTTATTCATTTTTAGTTTTGATTTTTTTTTTTTTTTTGGTGGTGGTGGTATGTTTTCATACATACTACGGTTGCTATGCTGTACTTTTTTTTTCACCCAGCAAATACCAACTAAAACTTATCATTCTTTTGGCCACCTGGGAATTGGACCCAGGACATCCTGCAAGCTAGGCAAGCATTTTACCACTGAGCTGTATCCCAGCCCAGGACTTTATTATGTTTGTGCTCAAACAGCTCATCCTCTTCCCACCCACACCTGCTCCTATGCCCTCATCTGAGTGGCAGTGCTATCACCCACTAGTCACCCGGGATGGAGGTAGGAGCCAGATTAAGAGGGAGTAAGTTGAAGTAAGTAGGTTACAAAAGGCATGGAAATGTTTGGGTCGGTAGCATTGGGAAATAGCCTTATAAAAACTACAAAAGGGCTAGGTTCCTTTTGGACATCTGGAAAAGTCAGGTGGGAAGAGGGAGGATGGAGGAGCCAAAATTAGGCATCTAGCTACTCGTCACCAAGACAACTGCGTTGCTGTGGCAACTGCAAAGGCGGTCTCCTTCCAAGTACTAAGTGGAGGTTCCCCAGTTATCTCCACACCAGCCAGACGCTTCCGCCTGGGGGCTGGCAGGCTTCCGGAAACTGTTAATGAAGGAGGGAACTGGTGCTGCAGTAGCCAACCAATAAGGTCTTTATCTTTCCCGGGTGGGCTCCGGGGCGAAGAGCGCCAAGAACGGGTCGGGACTTTTTTGGTGCTTACCGAAGGGCGTTGAAAAGGGCGGGTTCGTGTCCCTTCCCCACCACTTAGGAGGGAGGAGGCGGGGCCCAGATAAATCGTGGGTGGGTACGCCTACCTTCACTTCTGCCCAATAGGAAGCCAGAGAGCTAGCCGGGACGGTTGGAATGTCCAATGTGCGTCGTAACCAGGAACCGGTGCGGGGCGCATAGAACCAATCGGCAGCGGCAGTGGGCGGGCGCGGGCGACAGGCGGTGCAACGGAGGCGGAGCAGGCGCTGCGGCAGGAGGGAAGATGGCGGACGAGGAGAAGCTGCCGCCCGGCTGGGAGAAGCGCATGAGCCGCAGCTCAGGTGCCGCGGGGGTCGGGGCTGGGGCGGGGTCGCGCGAGCCCGCGGAAGCAGGGCTCGAGCTTCCCCCTCGGACGCGGCGGCGCCACCTTCCTCCCGTGGGATCTTGTCCCCTCACACCGTCCCCCGGGTAACGGCCCCAACCCGCCCTGTGCGGGCTATGAGTCCTAGGAGCTGGGACCCGAGGAAACCGAGGCAGTGGGCGGGGCGAGTGAGGGACCTGGGATCCCATGGCACTTCCCAGGCAATAGCCGTGGTCCTGCCGGCCCGGCTGATGCGTTTCGGCCTGATGCACCTGACGCTGTCGGGGGAAGTCTCTTCAACCCCCTGGATCTGAGGGTACCGTACCTTTGGGAGGAAGACACCCCAATACCGTGCAAAGGGCGTGGCCTCAGGATCTTGCCATGC